GGGTTAGGTCGGTTACTTTTACCTTACGTTGTATATATATATATATATATATATATATATTAAAATATTGAACTACAATGTCTTCTTTGGCCTAATTTTTCCACATCCTGAGATTTTAATTTATCTAATGTGTTGATTTCTCATACTTTTTGATTTACTGTAGAACATAAAAAAATGGACTTCAGACAGTAAATGAAAAACAATTTAAAATTCAAAAATATTTAATGCAGGGGGATCATTACTTTAATATCTATAACACCACTTTCTGGATGAATCAGTGCTATTTCATGAGGAATGCTCTTAACTAAGTTCGATCTGGTATCTGGTACAAATGATCTACTTTGTTGTTCTAAATGCATAGCCAAGTTATTAAGAGTCTTAGTTGGAACTATTTGAATGCTTTGAGTTTTCTATTTGGTCAAGAAATCAGCTATGGGAAACCTATTCTACAATTTTGACACTCCAAGCATTGGACGTATATGCTTTATGACAAGGACCTGCTCGAACAACACAATAATCCCTACACCATTAGGGTAAATATACTCACACACACACACACACACACACACATACATACATACATACATACATACACCATTAGGGTAAATATACTCACACACACACACACATACATACACCATTATTTAAACTACCTGTCTTATAATCATACATAAAACATTTTGCATTACATATTGGGATGTTCATTATTTGCAGAAAATAGTATAAATGGATCAAACGCTTAAGAAATAAATAGTAAGGCAATGGACTGATTCCACAAAAATAATATACTAATCAAAATTAGTGTTTTTGATTGTTATTTTGTTTAATTTTTCCAACTACCCTATACCTACATAACCAAAATATTGCAATAAGATTTATTATTATTTTCAACTTATTTTAGTTTGTTCAGGTTAAATGACTTGTGTAATAACTTACAAAAATAATCTAATCAAAATTAGGGTTTCAAATTATTTTTAATTTTCAGTTGTTAATTTTCATTTCCTGAAGATGGCTCACTCACACTATAGTTTTAATTGCTTAAAAAGGATTCCACTGAAAACTGATCATGATACTAAATTTAAGTGTTTGTACCTACTAGTAATCTCACTAGTCACAGTTATATATTTAATATTATTCTAGTTTATAATCAATGTCATGAAGAACAACATCATTTGAACAATGTAATGTTCACCTGAAGGTCCTTCAAGATATTTTCAAATGACCTTTCATATAAAGTTAATAAACTTTATTATCCTGAAAAAACACCACTAATGTTTGGCATAGGCCTACCTCAGGTATCAGTTATTTAACTTAATACACCTTACATTATTAAAAGGTAAATTAGTTTTCTAAACAAGTTCAAAATTACATTAGATTTCACAAACAACAATGAACTTCATAGAAAAAATAAAAGAAATGTCACTGCTCTCCCTAGATGGAGTTCTTAGCAGAAATATTTTTCAAACATAAAAAAAACTATATCAATAGTCATACTTCCTGGCAATTAATTTTTTCTGATATGTTTGAAAAATTATTTTAAATAAGTACTCTATCTTCTGAGCACTGCCTTTCTCTCTCTCTCTCTTTTCCTATGAGCATCAGTATTGTTAGTTAAATCTTGTGTCTTCTCAAATGTGTTTTGAAAAATAATTTATCAAACTCCACTGATAGCCAAGATCTACTTTTAAATAGAGTGCAAAATACAGACTACACCATGAGACTCCACAATAATCTGTCACAGATGATGTGCTACAAAACAGTTGACAGCAATGTACAGTTTACATATCCTGATCATTCCAATGCATCAACATTAATCCTATCTTGGCCATATCAAATTTCAAAATTTAAGTAAATATAATAATTCTAATTTTTTCAAAATATTTTCTTTAAAATATTTCACAATTGACATCTTACTACTTTTAAAACTTATTAAACATAATTTGCAAAGAAAAATTAAAAAATTCATTTCTCCACACCTCCAAGGAATCTCACTTGTAAACAACTCATTTATCAGTTTTATTAAAATTTTTTGCTTACATCAACCACAGGTTTATATTCGATAAAACATTTAAATCATATATTCTCAAGTGCTTCTCCTGCTCTTTCTAAATCTTATTACTTCAGTTTTTTGCTCTCAAATGTTTATGACCTCACAGCATGTGACAAGAACAACTATTAGAGAATTTCAGTTTTCAAAATAGCTAAAAGTAAAATTTAGATACCAATGGCTATGGAGATAAACTATTTATATCAGTGTAGAATGAATAAATTGGTGTAACAAGTAATTTATGGTTTCGCAGGAAAATGACAAAACCAAGCTCCTACAGAGAACAATGAAATGTAATGGAAAGTATCAAAATAAATATGATAAATAAAGTCAATGATGTTGAAACTAATTGGATATATAAAATGAAACTTTCTGATCATTAATAATATAAAATTGAAATTATAAGACAAAAGGAAATATTTTAATGTTTTTTCATATATGTCCTTAAATAAGTTGAAAATTTCACAAAACAAAATATTATATCATTTTTAAAGCCCAAACAAGATCCTATTTGGTAAGTTTATTTGGAGCAGAAGTGCTCAGGTTGAGTAACTGCAGGATGTTATGTCACTCTCATACTGGTGGGGTGCTATCATCATAAGTAGGCTTAAATTTTACAGGCAATTGACAGCAAAAAAACAAGAAGTCACAGGTAAGTGATATATTTCTTATGTTTCATGTATATTTTGTTATATATTATTATAAAAGTAACTAAAATGTAAAAATCAAAAACTTATTGGGTTACATAAGGTAAGGTAATGAAAAATAATAATAATAATAAAAAATCTTCACAAAATATGCTCACAAGCAGCTCCTGCATTACATAATTTGAAACAAGCTTACCAAGTAGAACTAAAACAATAAAATTAAGTATAAACAGGTTTATAGTGTTATAAGCTTTATGCTACTGTGCATAAACACTGTAGTATTCAGTTACAATTTGCAGTCTTTCTAGAAAGATAAAAGGGTAATTTTGATGTATTTCTTTTTTCTATGGCAGTTACATGGTTGGTCAAACCGACTGAATATGTGAAGAGTTAGGGTAGGTAATAAATAAAGTTTTAGTGAAAAAACATATATGATATCTATCTAAGAGATTGTCGAGATTTTACAAATAAAATTTGGCAAATTTCAGATGAAGAAAAGTATTTTTAATCTTAACATGAAATTCACTTGTAGCAGTCAACACATCAATCCCATATATTGATGGACAAATATTTGGTAAAATTAACTTATTAAAAAAATCTGATTTTTTGTACAAAAGGCTTCTAACATTTACAGAAAGTGTACTAAATTTCATGAAGACACACAAAATACATTAAATGTTATAGCATGAAAACTCCGATGGTCACTTTGGGGTTACAAACTTGGTCGAACTGACTGAATAAATAATGAGAGGGTTAAAAAAAATGATCTCTGTAAGTGTGGGGGATAGGTTAACTCATTAGACAGAAAACTGGATAGATGGAACAAAACAGAGTTGTTACAAATGGAGTTTAGTTAAACTGGATTAACATCATGAGTGGGATCCTCAAGGCTCAGTGTTAGGACATTTGTTCTTTCTGATTTATACCAATGACATTGGTGAAAGAATGGTCAATGGATTATTTTAATTTGCTATGAGGATGATGCTACTGCCTCACAAAAGGATTTGGATTATTTGGTGAGTTGTACAAATAAATGAGATGGCTTTTAATTATGATAAATGCAAGGTAGAGCATATAGGATTACACAATTTGATGGGAATAGCATTAACATTGTTCTGAAATAAAAATATTTTGGTATTCTGGTTGATAAGTCTCTTAACCCAATCATAACAGGC